AAGTTGTAGAGATAGCTAGATTGAAGTTCAAATCCAGAGCCAAGTTACTTAGACTCTCTAAGGACTTGTTTTTCCCCTATAAAACTAAAATAAAGCAGATAGCCACTTCATAGGTTTGTAATAAGAATATGATCATGCTGTCACACAGTTGCAAAGAGATACTGAAACCTGGCTCTGGCAAAAAAATATTAGCTATTGCCATTAGGACTGTTCTCCTTAATACCTAAGGCATTTGCTGACAATGAGGTTACTCATCATGTCCTTCCAGGAAAATTTTTCAGGAAAATTTAAAAATGTTTAAAACCTAGGAACTACTTTTAAAATTTAATTTTTAGATCTGACATAACAGCTGAGGAAGAGAGATGGTAGCTGACTGGGGACAGATGTAGAGATCCTTAATGGTATATAAGTGTGAGAATGTGAAGCATGATAGGATATATTACTCATATAGATTGCAAATACATCTCAAAATTATATTTATCATTCATTTAAGTAAAATTCAACATTGTTTTCTTCAAAGAAGAAATTACACCTTTCACTCTACCTATTTAACTCTGGGAAATTTTACAAATTGAGCATGCCATTGTTTAGTATGAATTCCTTTATGTCAGCTACCCTGCTAACTTTGCCTTTGCCGTGATGAGCAGAAAGAAAAGAAACAGAATGATTAGTTCTGGAATATGAAAAAGTGTCCAAGAAGAGGAGTAGTCTTGAGAAGTAGGGAACAGGATGAAATCACTAGGGGACAGAACGGTAGGAGGGAGTGGGACCAGACAAGCACTGAACTCTGCATGCACACGTAACAGTCTAAAAGTCATCCAGCACGCAGACTCTAGGTCAAGACAACCAAGATGAATTGCAACTTCTCCACAAGCAACATGACTTTAGGTAAGGTATTTAACTTTTCTGTGTCTTCGTTTCTTCAACTGATAATTAAAAATGGTCATGTCTACTTCATAAAATTGTGATAACTTATTAATACATGTAATGAATAGTGTTTGGCATTTAGCTTAATAATAAGACATTTCATTAAAATATTAGCTACTTTTGTTAGCTAGCAACTCATAATTTTGCCTAAAGCTGACCTCATATCTAGGGTTAGGTTTTGAAAGAAACTCATCACCATCAGAAGTAGGTCTGGAAGTTATAAAGGAAAGCTTAAAGGCACAGAAGTATGTGCAACACCTATTTACAAAGAATCCATTGGAAAACCCCCATTGAGCCCAGGTAGATGGCACATGTCCCCTTTGGGTATGTAATTCAGTTCCCTGAGGGTCATTGTACCGTCTTTGTTCCCAAGGCAAACTTTTTAATAATTGTGATCCCACTCAATAGTCATGTTCTCTTGCTTTATGGGTACATTTGTGGCATATTTTAAAATGTGAAGTTGAGTGCATTTCACTTAAAAACCAAAGGCATATAGTGACTTGTTTCAGAGGAAAAATTATTGATTTTTGTAAATAGGTAGATCTTGTTTGTATTCTAGCTCCATCACTTACTAATTTTGTGATACGGGCAATTTATATCCTATCTGAGCCTGTGTTTCCTCTACAATATGTTTATTTATATAGTCAGTTTTCACATTAAATGGGAGAAAAATTGACATTGTTCAATTCACACCCAGGGAAACTCTGTGTGAAACATATCATATATTTCTTTTAATGCTCTAAACAATGTTGTGAGGTAAGTGTTACCTCTGATTTGCATATGAAGAAACATATTCCCAGATTAATGAATTGCCCAGTTTCACACAGGGAATAAATTGGAGCACAGGAGTTCTACATAGATAGACCTGTGTGACTTCACAGACTGAAATGGATGGATAAACAATTCACTTTCCAGGAGAAATCACAGGACAATGGATATCAGAAGAAATGATGGGACCGGGTAATATTGGATGTTTTGTATATGAAAAAGTAATTTGGGCAACAAATAACGATATAAAGTCACTGAAGCAAAATATATATTACCAAATCTAAAAGAAAATATGCTATTGGTAGGCCGTGGCTACATTATAAAAAAACATTTCATTTCACGTAAAGTACTAATACTACACTATGACTATGAGTTAATATTAAAACATTGACCACATAGGAAATAGGAGAAACAAGTAACAACACTGTAGAAAGCAAAGAAAATGACTGCAAGATGCAGCCATCACCACCATCTCCTGGCCACATAGGGGCCTCCTCAGAAGCTTAGATGAATGAAGGGAAGAGATTGGAGTTATTACAATTAAAACTCAGAGTAAAAGCCTTCCTGGGCTGAGACTAGATCTCTGAGGGAGAGATATGTTCCAACTGCTGCTGTTACCTCTGAAGAGGCACTTTCTGGGGCTCTGAAAAAAATGGTAAACTGAAACAATTACTGCTCCTACGGCAAGGAGATGTTCTTGGGAGAACATCGGCAAGGACAGCAAATAAACAGGAAAAGGAGATCTATTCTTCCATTCTCTTGCCTTTCTATGTTTCTCTAGTACCTTCCAATAGCAGAACCTAGCAGGATCCCACTAGAAGGAACTTGGAAAACGTAGCTTGCTGATCCCCATCATGGCATCATAGCAAATTTATTGCAGAGAAATGTAGCTAAGGATCAAGATTATTAGTAAATAACATTGTGCTAGTCTAAAGTAGCCGGAACTTGCTTTTGCTGCTCTCGCATGACTGCAGGCTGGCCACAATCTGGCTCTCGATGGCTTGGACCCAGGCATCCCGCTCCTCATATGACGTGGCTTCAAAGTGCCACGTTTGGCCAGTGAGGGACACAATGATAAAGTTTTCTGCTTGTTTTTCAGCAGTGCCAGACAGGCCATTGTCTTTTAAGTTGTTGGTGCATTTCTTCCTTTGGTGTTTCTTTTTGTTGGCATGAGAAGAGGGGGGTGGGTTGAGCTTGGGGCTGGTGGTGCTGGAGATATTGGGGCTGGAGCATATGGAGTCACTCAGCCCGGTGTCTGAATTGGCTGAGGTACATAGACTGTTCATGTCTTTGAATAGGCCATTGCCTTTAGAGCTGGAAATGGGTGCACAGGCCAGTGTGGCTAGGGGTGGCCTCTTTCCTGGGACTTCGATGGTACATGTTCGAAGGTCAGTCTCTTTTTTGTGAATATTCTTCATATAATCACCTAAGCTTGAATAATAGGTGAGCGTGCCATTGTCACAGAGGGTGGCATATTTCTTTTTCCATTTCTTCAGCCATTTCCCACTTAGCTTTAAGAGCATGCCCTGTTTAATGGGGATGGCTCTGCCACTCCCAATGGTGTCAGCATGACTCTCTGGGGCTTTCTTCTCTTTGTCTGGGTGACTCCCTTTCTCAGATGTGAACAGCTTGGACCAGCGCTTGGTCTGCTTGCGAACGGGCGTGGGTGTGTCGGCAGTGGGAGGAACATTGATCTGAAGGTCCTCCTGGCTGGTGCTGGGAGTCGATGGAATGGAGGAGGAATAGTTACTAAAACTCCCACCTCCACTTCTTGTCTGGGTAATGTGCATGGTGGAAACCTGTGTGGAACAGAAGAAGGAATGGCTTCGAGAATTGGGTAATGACTTGCAGGGTCCTATAGACAGCTCACAATTACCTTTTAAAAAGATACATTTTCTGTGCCAGGCACAGTGGCTCACACCTGTAATCCCAGCACTTAAGGTGGCCGAGGTGGGTGGATCACGAGGTCAGGAGTTCAAGACTATCCTGGCCAACATGGTGAAACCCTGTCTTTACTAAAAAAAAAAGAAAAAAATAATTAGCTGGGCACAGTGGCGCATGCCTGTAATCCCAGCTACTCGGGAGGCTGAGGCAGGAGAATTGCTTGAACAGGGACCTGGGAGACAGAGCCTGCAGTGAGCCAAGATTGTGTGATTGCACTCCATCCTGGGCTACAGAAAGAGACTCTGTCTCAAAAATTTTAAAAAAAAAATACATTTTCTGTTATTTGGATAGTATATTTACTCATACTAGCTCACTAACTAAACAGAGCTGTAGATCAGTTCCTATTCCAGCACATTCTTTTTACGACACTTAAGATGACTAAATACAACATGAAATGGGGAAGATTTAAAAAGAGATGCCTTTGACTTCAGCATGAAACAGATACAAGTGTATGATGAAAATACAATCTCAATAAAAGCGCCACTTACCGTAAATGAGTATAACTGTTCATCAAATATGCTCAAAGATCCATCTGCATGTCTATAAAATAAGAATGTGCATTACTTCAAAAACTGTTAATATATTAGTATCACATATGTTTAGTAAAATACTGCCTCCTGTGTGCTTTGCTGTTTACTTTACCGAAGCAGTTTTTACAAATTTTTCTCCTAGATCCTGACTTGCAGAAGGTTTCCTGACTTCTTCTTTCTCAGCACTTCATGTCCTGTTCTGTGAAGTCTTTTATATGTAACCAGTCAGAAATGCCCATAAGTACTGACTCTCCCTAACAGGCAATGGCAACAAACCAAATATATTTTCACTCTTCTAACCACACCACACACTGAAACACAAGAATGTTTTACAAAGCAGTAGTGATGAACTTTAATAAATGTAAATGTGATTCAAATTTCCTAGCTTCCTTTCTCTTTAGTTCTCTGTAGTATACTCTCGTGATGTATTTATGTGTTTTCTGTTGTTTGAATTAAAAACTCATCTGCCTTTTTAAGAGGCCAGTCTTTGATGAACTTTAAATTTTGTAAAACTAATGCATTGTGCCTACATGATAAACCAGTGGTTCCCCAGATGAGCTCTGTGGACCTGTCGGGATCCCCAAGACCCTTTCCAGAAGGGCTAAGAGGTCAACACTGTTTGTTTGTTTTTTGTTTGTTTGTTTGTTTGAGACCGAGTTTCACTCTTGTTGCCCAGGCTGGAGTGCAATGGCGCAATCTTGGCTTATGGCAACCTCTGCCTCCCAGGTTCAAGTGATTCTCCTACCTCAGCCTCCTGAGTAGCTGGGATCACAGGTGCCTGCCCCCACGCCTGGCTAATTTTTGTATTTTCAGTAGACATGTGGTTTCACCATGTTGGCCAGGCTGGTCTTGAACTCCTGACCTCAGGTGATCTGCTCACCTCAGCCTCCCAAAGTGCTGGGATTACCTGAGCCACTGCGCCTGGCCAACACATACCTGAGAAAGCTGAATTAAAAATTAAAAAATCTGTAAAAGGAATATAAAGTCATTGCCTGCTTTTTCGTTGACACTTGCCATGATTGTATAAAAGCAAAAGTGGGTAAACTGCTGGTTTCTCAGCATAAATCAAGGCAGTGGTACCAATTACATTAGTAGTCATTCTATTCTTTACTGTCCCCTACCGTAAAAAAGACAGCCTGAATTACTTAAGAATGTCTTTAATGAAGCAGTAAAAATTAATGTTGTTTTTAAACTTTGGCAAGTCTCTTTAATATTCTGAATAAGTGGAAAATTAATAAGAAGCGTTTCTGCTGACTGCAGTACAGTTTTTTGTTTTTGTTTTTTTTTTAAGAATTAGTGATTTAATTGTGAACTGAACAATCACTTTTTTCACAGAACATCGTTTTTATTTAAAAGTACAACTGGGTCAGCGTAGTGGCTCACTCCTGTAAAATCCCAGCACTTTGGGAAGTGAAAGCAGGCAGATGGCTTGAGCTCCTGCAGGAGTTTGAGACCAGCCTAGGCAACATAACAAAACCCTGTCACTACCAAAAATGCAAAAAAGAATTAGTCTGGTGTGGTGCCACCCATCTGTGGTCCCAGCTACAGGGGAGTCTGATGTGAGAGGATTGCTTGAGCTGAGATGATGCCAATGCACTCCAGCCAAGTGACAGAGTGAGACTCGGTCTAAAAAAAAAGTACACCTTTCATTCTCAAAAATAAATGAAGTGAGAGGTTGTCACTTCAAGGAAAATAAATATTTGTTCCCAATGATAAAATTTAGGCTTTCCTGAGGACTTTGAAAAACTCATTCCTTCTGCCAGGCATATTGGCTCATGCCTGTAATCCCAGCACTTTGGGAGTCTGAGATGGGCAGATCAAAAGTTCAGGAGATCGAGACCATCCTGGCTAACACAGTGAAACCCCATCATTACTAAAAATACAAAAAATTAGCCAGGTGTGGTGGCATATCCCTATAGTCCCAGCTACTCTGGAGGCTGAGGCAGGAGAGCCACTCGAATCAGGGAGATGGAGGGTGCAGTGAGCCGAGATCGCGCCACTGCACTCCAGCCTGGGCGACAGAGCAAGACTCCATCTCAGAAAAAAAAAAAAAAAATAAGAAGTGGGGGGCACCCAAGATGGCCCAATAGGAACAACTCCAGCCTCCAGCTCCTAGTGTGAGTGACACAGAAGGCGGGTGATTTCTGTATTTTCAACTGAGGTACTGGGTTCATCTCACTGGGGCATGTCGGACAGTTGATGCTGGTCCGCGGATGCAGCCTGACCAGCAAGAGCTGAAGCAGGGTGAGGCATTGCCTCACCTGGGAAACGCAAAGGGGAAGGGATTTCCTTTTCCTAGCCAAGGGAAATTGAGACACACAACACCTGGAAAATTGGGTAACTCCCACCCTAATACTGTGCTCTACCAAGGGTCTTAGCAAACGGAACACCAGGAGATTATATCCCACACCTGGCCTGGAGGGTTCCATGCCCACGGACCCTCCCTCATTGCTAGCACAGCAGTCTGAGATCTAACTGCAAGGCGGCAGTGAGGCTGGGGGAGGGGCACCCACCATTGCTGAGGCTTAAGTAGGTAAACAAAGCCTCCTGGAAGCTCGAATTGGGTGGAGCCCACCACAGCCCAAGGAGGCCTGCCTGGCTCTGTAGACTCCACCTCTGGGGACAGGGCATAGCTAAATAAAAGCAGTAGAAACCTCTGCAGATATAAATGTCTCTGTCTGACAGCTTTGAAGAGAGCAGTGGTTCTCCCAGCACAGAGGTTGAAATCTGAGAATGGATAGACTGCCTGCTCAAGTGGGCCCCTGACCCCTGACTAGCCTAACTGGAGACATCGCCCACTAAAGTGCAGACCAACACGTCACACCTCACACGTCTGGGCACACCTCTGAGACAAAGCTTCCAGAGCAAGAATCAGACAGCCACACTCGCTGTTCAGCAATATTCTATCTTCTGCAACCTCCGCTGCTTATACCCAGGCAAACAGGGTCTGGAGTGGACCTCAAGCAAACTCCAACAGACCTGCAGCTGAGGGTCCTTACTGTTAGAAGGAAAACTAACAAATAGAAAGGACACCCACACCAAAACTCCCAGGTACGTCACCATCAACAAAGACCAAAGGCAGATAAAACCACAAAGATGGGGAAAAAGCAGTGCAGAAAAGCTGGAAATTCAAAAAAATCAGAGTGCATCTCCCCCTCCAAAGGAAGGCAGCTCATCGCCAGCAACGGAACAAAGCTGGATGGAGAATGACTTTGACCAGTTGAGAGAAGAAGGCTTCAGTTGATCAAACTTTTCAGAGCTAAAGGAGGAACTACGTACCCAGTGCAAAGAAACTAAAAACCTTGAAAAAAGAATGGAAAAACAGAAAACTACAATAATCAATGCAGAGAAGACCATAAATGAACTGATAGAGGTGAAAACCATGACACAAGAACTACGTGACAAATGCACAAGCTTAAGTAACCAACTCAATCAATTGGAAGAAAGAGTATCAGTGATTGAAGATCAAATGAATGAAATGAAGGAAGAAGAAAAGTGTAGAGAAAAACGAGTAAAAAGAAATAAAGCCTCCAAGAAAAGTGGCATTATGTGAAAAGACCAAATCTACATCTGATTGGTGTGCCTGAAAGTGACAGTAAAATGGAATCAAGTTGGAAAACACTCTGCAGGATATCATCCAGGAGAACTTCCCCAACCTAGTAGGGCAGGCCAACATTCAAATTCAGGAAATACAGAGAACGCCACAAAG